ACTCAGAAGAGAGTTCTAAGACTATCTATATGGACAACAAGATTCAAATCTTAGGTCCAACATTTATTAATTGTGTGCCTCAAAAATGCACTTTACTTCTCCATTTCCTGATCTCTATAGTGAAAATAATGACAGAAATTTTTCTCACCAAGTCATTATGAAGTTGAAATTAGAAGGGGCTAGGGGTTTAGCTCAGTGTTATCAGCATGTGCAAGGCTTTGGGTTTGACCCCTAGTGGGTAGAAGAAAGGAGAGAGGGGAGAAGGAAAAAGTGAAATCATATATGGGAGATACTTAGCTCATACTTAGCTTACATAGCAAGCTCTCAGTAAATTACTGCTACTGCTATATGGTGCAGTCCACTAATGCTCAATGCCTAAATTTCTTTATCTTCAAAATGCAAATAATATCACTTACTTTCCAGATTTGTTGTGAGGATTAAAAAAGAATAAATCCTCTAGCAGACTGTCTTTCACATTTGCATGCACTGAATAAATGTTAGTCTCCTAACTCAGTCATCTTTTGGTTCCCCATCTTTATTCTCCCATGAAATAAGAAGGCAAAACATGATTGTGTTACTATTAAAAATCTCAAGGGAAATGTTCAAGTTCAGTATCGAGAATTAACCATAAACCCACATGTGTTAGTTAGTTACTTTTCTCTCATTACTGAGACAAAATACCTGATGTCCAAAGTTAAGGAAGGAAAGATTTGTTTGGCTCACAGTTTACAGAGGTTTCAGTCCATAGTTGGCTGGCTCCAAGGCAGGGAGGCACACCAGACAAGCATCAAAGAGGAAAAGCAGTTCATAGCGGCAAGAAGGCAGCAAAGCAAGCAAGGGGCGACCATAGCTCTATCCCTTATATCTTACCCAGGCTACTTAGGGCAAGTAGCACTCACACCCTTAATCCTAGTGCCCATGATCCTACCAGTGCACCATGAATCAGTTTCAGCGTGACACACTCTAGATGCAGCCACCTCTGAAAAAGCCCCACCTATGACCACATGAGGCTTTGGGGGGACATCTAGACACAACCATAACACTATGTGTGACATGGGTCCTCTCTGTCCTATGCTCGTTGTACCATGTAGAAGCCCATGTCTGCTGTGGAAGCGGGAGGAGCTGCACACAGAACATGCAAGCCCTGAACCCCCAGTAAGAGAGCCCTTAGCAGGAATGAAGACACTAGAGAAGGGCCATTCCCACAGCAGAACCATCTTCCTCACAATGCTCATGGCATTTTCAACAGCCTGACCCTCCTGCCTCCCCACTGTGCCAGTTTTCCCATCTCAGTAAGTAGCCCCACTGTCTCCACCCCCAGATACTTGGGCCAAAACCTAGAACCTTTATGAGCTTTCAATGATACAAACTGTGCTTCAGCCTGCATGCCATAAATGCACCACCACTGACCTAGAGAACCTAGAACCCATCTTTGCCTTCTCTTGATTCATTCTTGATTTATCTAAAGATCTGCCTCAGTTTTCTTTGTCCCACAGCCCATCCATCTGCAGTCCTAGGCTCTGAAGACACAGATCCAACCCCATTTCACCATCACTGCCACCACACTTACTCTGACCACTGGTGTATCTTTTCCTGGAATGGCCTGAAAGCCTCTCTGATAGTCCATAAAACTCCTTTCCAGGCTGTCCCCTATCCATTCCCCAAGACCCAACATGATCTTTTCAAAGCATAAATCAGATACTGTACCTCACTTTCTTAAAACTCTCCAGTGGTTCTCATTGCACTAAGAATAACTCTCCAACCCTTTTAAAAAGCTCTAAGTCATAACCTGAATCTACATCTCTTCTCCCACCCTCACCTTTGCTGCAGCACCCTTGAGACCCCGTGCACTCTCATTCTCTGGGAGAAGGGAACCCCTCAGAGGCCTTCATTTACCACCCTTGATAAATAATGGTTCCCTTTTGATTACACTTTGGCCTGTGACCCTTTTGACTCCCTTCAGGACTTATCATTAAAACAATCATGTTTTTGTACTTGTCTATCTCCCCACTAGAATGTAAACCTCAAGAGGGCAGGCTGTCCTGCTCACTGCTGTTTGCATGGACGCCAGGCCAGTGCCTGGTGTGCACAAGGACAACCAGCCCTGTTTCTGTGGGTTCCACATCTGCAGATCCAACCAACCACATACCAAAATATTTTTTAAATTACATCTGTACTGAACATGTACAGACTTTTCTTGCCATTATTCCCTAGACAAGGGGATAGCAACTATTTATACAGCATTCATGTTGTATTATGTACTGTAATCTAGAAATAATTTAAAGTATATGGGAGGATATATACTATTTGAAGATGTAGCATTTGCATAGATTTTATGCAAATACTATGCCATTTTAGGTAAGAGACTTGACAATGTAGGGATTTTGGTAACAGCAATGATCCTGAAATGATTTCCCCTCCAGATCCAGAGAGAGGACAGTACTTAATTCCTGTTAGATGAAGAGCATCTGATGAATCTCATACCACCTTGTGCAAAAGGACTGTGGCAGCTTTGCAAAATCTAGACCCTCCTGATTGTCCACAGCTGATGGAAGTTTCACGGTCACCTCAACCAAACTTTTTTCCAGTTCACAAGCAGCTCACCTGGTGTCCTTGGCATTCTACAGTCATTTTTAAGTTCTTACTGTCCTGGTAGTTTGGAACAGTTCGTCTGAGTACATTCTGGACCATCTGCAGTGGTCCTGGACAGCGGAGCCATTCAATCCCTGTGTTTTGCATCTCTATGGGAAGGGGGGGGGGGCATTCTACCAGGAAGGAGCTACATATTTATACACATAAAGTGTATACACTGAGCTCCAAGGCTTTTGCTTTTTAAAAATTCTGTATGTTCATCTGTTGGCCCTCCCTTCACCCAGCTTTAGCGTAAAGACAAAAGTGGTACAGAATTAATCAGAGTTATGGCAACAGTCATTTAAGTATTAGGTTTTTACTTGCCTGGATAGTTTTTAAAATGTCTGGGGAAAGTACTAGCATCTTTAGCAGAGAAAATCAATTCTGCAACTATGCTTTAGAAAGGCTCCCATGCTACAAGTTGGTGGTAGTGTTTCTGTGGCTGTGTTGTAGGTGACGGAGCTTTTAAATGGATTAAATATCTCTCCTTCTGTATACAGAAACACTGTTTACTTACCTGAAACGTCAGTTTCTTTTGCTGTAAAAACTAGGTTTTTGCAGCTTTCAAGAAGCTCATGAGCTGGGAAAATATTTAGTGTTGAGAGCAGGTGACAGGACAAGGCCTTGTGAGTAATCCAAGAGGCGTGGAGAACAGTGGGGGCCTTCGTTACCGCCACCAAGCGGGAGAACCATAGCAGGCCCTCGCTCTAGTTCAGGGACAGCTGCAGCACAGCTCTGGCTCTGCACTGCACGCTCTGTAACCTGGGGTGAGTCATGCAGCCCTCCCTATCCCTTGGCTTCCTTACCTCTAAAACTGGGCCCATAATAGCAAGTGTCACATGAGTTCATTCTGATAATGAAGGCTGCTCTTGTGTGCCTGGCATGTGGGGGAGCTCAGCAGGTATGACATGGATGACATGTGCTCTTGACTTGCTCAGACTCTTGGCCCTTTGCTTTTATTCTCGTTTGGCACCCCTGAGTCTGCTGTAGAAATGCCTCATACAAGAACCCATTTATTCAGCAGCTGTGAATGCTCTAGTAGAGCAAACAGAAGGTGAAGGTCTGTATTGTGTTGTTGTCCCTGTCTAGCTGTGTACTGTTAGATAAATCATGTAACTGCTCTAGATAGTTTTCATCTTCAAAAAGGGAAATCATGGGCTGGGGTTTTGGCTCAGTGGTTCCGCCGCCTGCCTTGCAAGCACAGGGTCCTGAGTTCAATCCCCAGTACCAAAAAGAGGGGGGAAATTATAAAGCTTGCTTGGCAAGGTTCATGAGGATTTAATAGACAAGAATATACTTTAAAGTTTAAAATATTACTCAAGTGAAAATATGAGCAACTTGGGATGCATAGACATTAAGTCACAAAGATTTTTAGATATTACTTCTTGGTGGATTTTTGTGTTTGGAGATACATTTAAATTCTTTGTTTTCCCTCCATTTTATTCTTTTCTAACACTCTTCACGTGATCAACAATTGTTTTATTAGTGCATGTTTGCAATACATAATGGCTGCATGCATTGTGGGGGATTGGTCCATGTTCATGACACATTTCAATCCTTTTCTCCCTTCCTCTCCACCTACCTTTTATTTGCCACCATCAGATTCATTTGTTTATCTTAAAGTTCTTATAAAGTTAATTTATCATACATACAGATTAACAGAGTAACAGGCCAAAAGACATAAAATACTTAAAATGATTATACTAAATCAAAGTACACTTTTACATAAATTGTTCATGCTAGATTACCGTAACTTTCTTTCCTCTTGTCTTTTATTTTGTACTGTACTTATATATCGAAATTCTCATATAAGAGAGACCATGATATTTATGGTCTCAAGGTACATCCATTTTCCTACAAGAGACTCAAGTTTGTCCTTTATGACAGAGTAGTACTCCATTGTTATAAATACTGTATTTTCTTTATCCATTCATCTGCTGATGGACATATAGTCTGCTCCCAAGACTTAGCTATTATGAGTTGTACTGCTATAAACATAGGTATGCATGTATCCCTGTAAGATGATGTCCTTAACTGTTTGGGGAAGACAGCTACAAGGGAAATAGCTGAGCAGAGTGGAATTTCTACGTTTAGTTTTTTGAGGAATTGCCATACTGATTTCCATAGTGGTGGTACCAGTTTACACTCCCATCAGTGGTGAAGAAGGGTTCCTTTTTTCCAGCAGCCTCTCCAGCAGAGCCATTTAAATTCTGCCCTTAGTATCCATCATCTGTCTAACCTGTTCTCTGTGGAAAAAGCATTTCATCTTCACGTCTGATGGTAAAGGCCATTGTCTGCATGACAAAGACTAAATAAATGCATAGGACAGAGAACCTGCCCTGTCACCTGACTTTCTGTGTACTTATCAGGTGTCACCAACACACCACCATCCTCCAGCGGGCACCAGCGAGCAGAGACAACACGCCCACACAGTCCTGTCCTCCCCACCCCGAGGGGCCGTCAGCCTAAGGTACGTCTGCCAGAAACTCACTCTTCAAGGGAACTTCCTGGAAAACAAAAAGACCAAAGTGAAGGCAGAGATACAGTCTTCTTCCATAACACTCTTCCACAGTGCACGAAGCGGCCTTTCCTGGGCATTGATGCTGATTTATTATGGGGGGAGGGTAATAATTTACAGTGGGTTTTCTTAAAGAATAAGTAATATTATTGGGTCTACTAAGAACTGTGTTGCATTGAGCTCTGTATGAAATGAACCACAAGACACAGCTTTTATTCCACGTAGGGAGAACCTCCCAGGAGGTCCCTAACCATAATTATAGAAATAAGTAAGGGAGCACTGGAAAGTGAGTGCTTGAAAACTTAGAAAGGAGCACTGTTGTTCTCTACTGCTGGTTCTTCGGTTTACTTATTTATGGAGATGGCTGAACCAGCGTGTCCACAGGGGAGGAGACAAAAGCTCAAGGACTGTCCGAGCAAACCATGCCAGCGACATGGAGCGCAGTGGATGCACCTGGCACTTTAAGGTTAAAGTCTGATGCTGGAGAGAACCCTGCCGCATTTCCTAGCTTTTTCCCTTGGTCTTTCCAGTTCTCCATAGAAGACCCGCCAGGTTCCCCCCACTGAACACATCCTCCTTGTCTTGCAGGAAGCCCCGAGGAGAGGGCAAGAAGTGTCGGAAAGTATACGGGATGGAGAACCGGGACATGTGGTGCACCGCCTGCCGCTGGAAGAAGGCCTGCCAGAGGTTCGTGGACTGAGCCCAGAGCCTGAGCCCATGCTGCCGCTGCCCGTGCCTCCCACTGAAGGTGTTGGGAAGAGCTGCTCCTTCCAAACGACACTTTCTCGAGGCCCAGGGAAAGGACTTCCAGGAACATTGGTGGAATTGCAGCAAAAACAAAACAAAAAATCACCATGTTCCACTGCTCTTACTGAGAATTCAGCCTAGAACAGAAAAAATGGTTCTCTTCTTTTTCAAAAGAAAAGTGAACTTTGTTTGCTGTGAATCTAGGTCTTAAATCTGTGGACTTCTATAGCAATTGAACCAACCAATCCCATTTTTACCTAGAAAGGCACATTTTGATAAACTTTCTGAATTATGACATTTCTGAGATTTTTTTGACACTTAAGGAACAAACACTTAAGCTCCATGTTATTCAGTAGCATTTGTACAAAGAATGAAAGGAGGTATCCTTTGTGAATAGCCTTTTCCCTGCTTTTCCTTTGACTTCTTGGAGCAGTACGCATCATGATGTGTTGCAGGAAAGAGCAGCACTCTGGGTATCTTTTCTATGTCTGTTTGGTTTGGTTTGGTTTTCAAGATCGGCCCCCAAATTGAACCATGGTAGAGTTCAAGTTAGCTTGGAGGGCCCCAGATGGCATAAGCTCAGAAAGCAATTGGCAGTGGAAATCACCAGCAGACTTCAGCCCCCAGCTGAGTTGAGGACGTCCTGCTGTCGCCATTGGGAACATCCAGGAGTTCCTTGGATCCATACGAAGCTCTTCCCAAAGAGGCAGCACAATGAATTCTCCACCTACCACAGCTCAGACAAGAACTGGCACCTGGAGTCCCCTGGGTAAGCCTGCTTCTTTCAGGGCTGTGACGGAACTGCAGCTCAGATCTGTTCAGTACCACTAGCCCATCCAGGTTGTAGCCAGGTGGAGTCAGCGGTCCTGCCCTGCAGCCTCTACCACCACCTGATCGATCCCAGGAAGGGGAGAGAACTCCAGACTGTCCCTGAAGGTTTGCTTTAGACAATAGAGCACAGCTGACCTGTCCCCATCTGTTCAGAAAGTGACATCAGGTCAATAAACCGGCTTCCATTGCTGAGTGCACTTTTCTAGGTTTTATGCTTTAGTGTATCTGGGAGATGGGTTTATGAACAATATAAACACAGAAAAAGGGTTTAAACCTTTATTTTTCTTGTAAAATTATGGGAGCTATTAAGAATTTGCATAAGGAAACACCAAAAGGAAAATGCATGTTGGTATAGGAATCTCTTGTTTAGTAGGGCCAGGGCTCGTGCTGTGTGCTAGTTATCGGATCGCTGACCTGTCATGCTTGTTCGCTGGGGGGGGGGGGGGCACAGCTGTCCACAAGTTCCTTTGCTATCTGCCCTGCTCGACGTTGCCCTTTGAACAACTGGCCTCTCCTGTACCTATGCAAAGAAGCCGGAGCACCTTAAGGAGGCACTGTGTGGGGGTGGGGACACAGGATCAGCCACAGGAATGGCAAATGGAATTGCACAGGGGAGAGCTTAATATATGTTTAGAGAATGTACATATGCTTTTGTAAAAGAGTAGAAAGAAGTCACCTAATAAAGAGAGAGACCCTTTTCTAATATAAGCAAGGATATGTAAGGTGGTTCTATAGTGCAGCATCCATAATTTGCATATTCATATATTTTGGCAATTTTATTTTTTACATGCTCATATGACTTTCTAAAAATTACTCCTTGGAAGAGATCCTGGTCTTTTCCTTTATTTTTTTTTTTTTGAACACTTCAAGAGAAAAGTTTCATCCAAATTCCTATCAAAGTTACTAGTCAATATTAGTCACAGAGGTGCGCTCTATGTCCTGGTACTTACAAAGTGAGCCAGGAAGCAGCGTTTCCCAAGATGTAGAAATGTGTTCGCTTTCTCTACCCCGCAATGTTGGTTCTCGGTGTCCTGTCCCTGCTGCTGTGACGCAAGCCGGGCCCTGGTTCCAGGAGGCCCAGGCCAGTCCATGCTCGGTCAAGTTCATCATGTACTAAACTTAAATGACAGTAGTCAGGGTGCAGTCCTGCACCAGAGGTTTTTCTTCTCAGCGCAGCTCCCTGGCCTTTGATCCTTGGATTAAGTCACAAAAGTGATGGGGGCCAAATCCACTTCCCCCTCAGCTACTGGAACACGGGGCAGGAAAGGTCTCTGCTGGGGAGCGAGGCTCTTTGGCAGTCCCCTCCAGACACAGCCATGAGCAGCAGTTCTGAGCTCAGGCCTCGCTGAGCCGCCTCAGTCCTTACAGCCAGTCCTCAGCCCCGCCCAGGTGTGAGCAGGGACTGCAGAGTCCCACTCTTCCCTGGGATTTTTTTTTTTCCTAAGGACTTGTGCATACAGATTCTTCTCCATCTCCTGCCTGCACTGGTGCTCCGTTTGCTGACCAGCCCAGGGCTCTGGGTACTTTTTCTGGCTGCCAGTTGTAAAGAGACCCTCAGTACCTTCCTGGACCTGCAGACACCCATTCCCTGTACCAAGACATGTAAGAACTAGGAGCCCACCAAGCCACTCCTGACTGGCCTTGAAGAAAAGGGATTACACTTTTTACAGGCCACACAGCGAGCTCTGAACTGCAATATACCGCTACTGGTTGTACAAGTTAATTTTTTTAAAGTAGTTTTTTATTTTTGGAACCAAATGAAGTGCCAAACTAAGCCAGACTTTCACTTTCTGCCATCTCTGTGGAACTGAGTACTTCTAATGTCTGCACTTGACAGGTCGGGGGAGAAGGGGGAGAAGAGCAATCCCAGGATGAGCCCATCCATCTCAGGGTGCTCAGGGGCCTGTCTGTCCAAAAGCAGTGGCACTGCAACGGATTCTGGTCCAGTGAAAATGTTTAAAGTTTGTTTTCACCCTGATGCCCCCGGTTTCAAAACAGTCTCGAATTTCTCCCCAAAGAAGGCATTTCCTAGTGCCTGACAGGCCATTCTCCAGCTAGCTGCAAAGCAAAGCATGTGCAGCAGGCGAAGTTTCAAGCCTTAGTCTTCCCAGAGTCTGTACAACATGTGCAAGGCAGGGAGACAACCTGGGGGAAACACGAGGTGGTCAGGGAGGAGATGCAAGGGCACTGTGGTCACCTGGCTCCTGCTCATCTTCTTGGGGCCAGTGAGCCAGCAGGGACTGTCCCTGAGCAGCTGCCAGGCTTGTTTCCACCTCACTTGCTCCCTTGGTTGGCAAAAGTCAGTGGCAGGAAGAGAAGAGTGGTGGGTTTCTGACTGGGAATGTGCATCCTCAGCTGCAGTGCATCTGTCAGCAGCTCCAAGTGCAAACAAGGTGCCCTTTACTAGACAGTTGCTGCCTGGTCATAAGCATGCTATGGGTGAAAACTTTCAGTAGAGAATGACACTTGGACTTTGTGTTGCAAAAAAAATCTGAAACTGAAATGTGCTCCATTAAATGTCAAGATCACGCGAGCTGACGTCGCTATCTGGTGTCACACCTGGACACCCTCTGCATGCAGCCCTGGGTTCCGAATCAGCCAGCACTGCTGAACTGTACCACCCCCTTCATCAGACTGTTGGAAAACGAAGTGCAGCATTCACTTGAGAAGGCTCAGAGAAAAGTGGCAAGAATTGTACATATGAAAGAGAATAATACCTTGAGAATAGTAGCAAAATACTGTAAATATTATTTCCTCAGGGAAACAAAGGCTATGTGAAAATAGATCTAGAGAATCCTAAGTCTAGGAAGAATTTTTATTATCACTGAAGTCTTTTCTAGTCGGAACAACTTTTTTCATGTGAAAATGGTATCATTTCAAAACAAGTTTCCAAGAACCAGACAGTACGGACTTTGGGAGCCATGGGGCAGATGTCCCATGGCAGAGCTGTCCCTTGGGACCTGGCCTGCAGCCTAAGGCCAACATCTGAACCACGGCCACAGAGCCTGGTGGGTGTTCACAGACTCCATGAGGCTTTTTCTGAATGTAATTGTGAATATGAAGCCTTGCCGTTCCTTTTTATAAACACCCAGTTTGGGTGGCTGTTTCTTAGCTGTAAGCAGAATTCTGTAGGTGAGAGCAAGCCGTTAAAGATGTGCATTTTGCTTTAATAGCATGTTAAGGAGCAAACTGCCATGGACTTTTGTGGACAAGGTGCTGCTTTTTCTCACAGCCCCGTAGGATTTCTGTCAACCACATCAGCTGTAGCACTGACCTGTGTGAACACAGGGAAGAATTTGTGCATACAAATGAGTGGAAACAGCAGGATTCATGAATAAGAATGAGGACGCAGATCATTTTGGAGAACGTGCTGGGCACATAGGTCAACTGGAAATTTCATCTCTCTAAGGAACCCTACCAGCGGCACACAGACTCTTCCTGTTCCTCTACTTGTAGGGATTTCTCCACATTGGACCTGTTTTGTTCTGTCCTTTTTGCATTGTAACTCGCCAAACCCAGAGTCAGTAAATAAAACAAGATTCGCACTTTTAGGTATCAGTCATGTTGCTGAGTAATGCACATCAATTGAGCAAGAAAGTATAAAATGAATTTAAGACCACCTGGTTTGCTTACTATGACTGACTTTGGAAAAGCCCATATCCAATGATATACATGCTTTAAAAGGTGTATCTATTATAGGACCAAGAATCAAAACGGGAATTTTACCTCTGGTCCTATTTTGTAAATAGTTCCTTTTTTTGAAGACAATCTCATGTTTTATAACTTTGGTTGTGTGGGACTGAGAATCACAATGGTAATGTGTTGTGGCAAAATGTAATCTTAAATACAATAATAATTTTCCAAATGAAACAAGAAATATACTGCTTAGGCTTCTATAAATCTAAGAGACATGACACTTTTATAAAAGCATTAGTACTCAACTTCTCAAGTTAGCAGAACTGGAAATATTTTACAAGATGCAGTGTTTTGTAATCACAAAGAACATGAACATTTTGTGGGAAATGACCTTGGTTTTATACATTGTAGCTTATTTTTTAAAATACAGTATTTTACCAGACAGGAAGTATTAATATTATACACAATTCCTGTTCACCAACAAAGGGCTATGCCTCTTCTAAGCAAGTGTTTTGATGCATTATCTTTTCAGTGAACCCTCTGCAGCGAGGGGAGAAGGCAGATAGGATGGGATGGTTATTTACAGGAGAATCAGGATAGCAGCAGCCACTCCTTTATCATCACCAGTATGTCTTCAAAGCATTTTGGAAAAAAGACATGTGAAGAATTGATTGTATGTATTTTAAATCTAAGAAAAAAATGTTAGCAGAAATGTTCATAGGCCACGGGAGAAATATTCTTGTAAATTCTTTATAAAATGATAAACTATATCACAAGTTTTCCACTCACCCTATCAAAACCACCAACATGCATTTAACTAGTATATAGCATTGCATGAAATTTTCTAAAATCATAGTATGTACATCCAAAGATAGCATTAAGAGATCTGTAATATTTAAAAGAGGTTTGTCCTCAGCACTAACAAAACAACTTTAAGTTCCTTTTGGGAACAAGTGCTTGATTTTTTTCCACTGTGAAGAACTCCCAGGCACACAAGGTTGTGAGCAGAAAGTATGTCCATAATTTGGGAAACAGGGAGAGGAGCTGAGAGCTTAGTTGCTGCACAAGTAATTCTGAACTTTGCCAAAACCATTTCATAACGCTGTACCATTTTTTCAAGCCCACTCACTGTTATAACAAGAAAGTATCTTTTCAAGATTTTAGTAATTTGAAAGATTCAAGATTCTAGTCTAATTAGCCAAGAATACTGACACTATCAAAACAGAAGCTGAGATAGAATAGCCATATGCCTATGAGCAACCCTTGTGGAATGGTCAGAAGGTCACCAGGATGGACCTTGGTTCCAAGTAGGCTTTAGACCTGCACACACGAGGACTGGGAAAGCACGGAGCTAGGAAAAAACTCGTGTGGCCTTGGCTCTCGGTCTCTGAAATGAGGCAAACTCTCCTGCTTGTCCATCGTTATCTTCATTGTTAGCAACTGAGTTCCCGAGAGAGTTGATTGCCGCAGTTTTCAACCCAATGAGCCCTATTTCATCTTTGAATAGAAGCTTCCTAGTGGTGTAGAGCAGAGGTCGCAGATTAGGAGGCCTTAGAAAGGCCAGGTGAGTCTGTGACTGATCATGCACATCAGGCAAAACAGGGACCCTAGAGAACGGGGAAGACGTGCTGAACCCCAGCACACACATCTCCGGGAAGGAGACCAGCTCAGCCAGCCAGCCAATCGGAACGCGCAGCAATCAGGCCCAGGGCTGCCTGTTCTTCTCACTTAGAAACAGTACTGGGCCGGGGATTTAGCTCAGTGGTTCCGTCGCTTGCCTTGCAAGCACAAGGTCCTGAGTTCGATCCCTGGTACCAAAAAAAGAAAAAAAAAAAGAAACAGTATCACCTGACCCTGAAGTGTTGACAACCGACTCGCGCTCTTGGCCAACTGCAGACCAAAGAGAAGCTGTCGGTGGGCAGGCACAGCCTGCAGCCACAGGCTCACTATTGAGAAAGCAGGTTCCCCTCCCCGGCTATCGGTTCCGTTCCTCCGTCAGCCCCACACTCACGTGTTGCCACTATCTGGATAATTTAAAAAGGAGAAAACAGTCACGTCTCCTGAGAAATTATTCTCATTGAATATTTTTTAAATCCTATCATTAGACCAGCTCTGCCTCTAATCCACATGCTCCGAGCTCAGTGAGAGCTGCCCGCAGGCACACCTGGGCGGTGCCGTGCCGCACTGAATAACTGTAACCCTAGCGTAGCCCTAGTTCTCTTGCTGTTTTCACTGCCGTGACCACTGTGACGAGGGGCTGGCAAGGAGACGCAGCCAGGACCCCTGAAGTTTTAAGGTGGCACATGGTGCCGCCTGTGCCAAAGCCCTCTGCCGCCCTCTCCATGCTCCTCCGGGAAGCGCCCTGCCTCATCAGTCTCCCTCCAGTGCACTGCGACTGTCGCTCACCTCCCGCTGGCAGGCACTCAGATGAGGCTCACTGGAACGAGGGGTTTCTACACAGGAAAACATAGCACCTTTGCCCAAGGGCAAAAGCAAAGTGAGAATAAATGTGTCATTAAAAAACGGGAGCAGATAAGTCGCTTTGTTCAAAGGCACTATTTTAAACTATCTTACACTGGAGTCCCGATGACATTAGGATAATCATCTAAGATAAAGTATTTCTCTTTGGACATCTATTATTTGATTTTCTTTTTCTAAGAGCCCGGTGTAGAGTAGGAATACTGAGGACCACTGTTGGCACCCACGCAAAGCCACTCAGAGTAGTCCTGAACCTCAGAGGCCTTACTGCCACAGAGCAATGCAAGGCAGGCAGGGCTGGTGACAGGGCCAGCTGAGGCCGCAGTCCTGCAGAAGGGCTCTAGACCTGAGACCCCCCACCTGCCCCATGTTCTCAACCCTCGCTTGCACGTACCCCTGTTGCCAAGTGCAAACTTCATCATCCCAAATGTATCCCCTTCCTATAGCTGCCGTGCTCCTAGCCCCAGCCAGATAAGCAGTTGATTGCGGGAGTCTATTAACTAAAGCAATATTCTGAGTAAAAGTTTTGATTCCCTGGGAAATTTTTATTTTGCTACTAGCATTCAACATATTCTATCTATATAAATAAACTTCAACTGATGCCAGAAAATATCAGCTTATAATTTGTAGTGATCACATCAAAAAGCACATAAATTCAGAGTTGGAAATGCCTGGTGATATTAAGTCATGTTTAAATTTTAATGTAATTTAAACTGTTGACAGATGCTTGAGACTTCTTTCATTGTGAATGACTAAAATGCTGTCCAATATATGAACAAGCAACTTCTCCACTTAGTTTATCAGGTTTAATATCTTGAATTTATAGTAAAGTCACCCACAAGAACTTTGTCAGAGTTAGAAGGCGCCTCAAAAAGCCATTTGGGCCTGTCACATACTTTATTAACTCACTCTTTGATGAATGATATTTTTATTGTTTCTGAAGTACCAGAGGAGGAATTGGCTTAGCACTTCCTTCCCTGATGGAAAAGAAGTCCGTGTGTAATGGTTATCACCAGCGCCATAACAGGAGCATAGAAAGAGCCAAGTGCTAGGGAACAACAACAACAAAAAAGCTATGCCTCCAAAACTGGATAGCTACAGATTTTTAAGGAAAGTGCAGATTATGATTCAATTACAGTCCACACAATTAACTACTAACTTTCAGAGAGAAGATCCCCTCTATGTTATAAAAATGCTAAAAATTAAATCCTGGGTTTAATTAACTGTCACATTTTCTTACCATGGCCAATTCTCTAAATTTTTAATGCAAAAAATTAGCCGAAGTAGAAAAGAGCAACTCCTGAGAAAGGCAAGGGAGCCATCATTAAAGATTTCCTTTGGGACAAACAATAAAGTACTCATCTATTTGCTCCTGAAGTCTCTCTCTCTATCCCTGACTGATGAAGAAAATCAGCACTCAAGAAGAAATTGAGCTTTGAGAGAGAGAGGAAAGAACAGTCCCCATTCTGTTTGTCAGCCTTGTTTTCCACCATCTTGGCAACCACCTGTTCTCTCCCTTAGTGGCCTCATCTCCTGAGCCAGAAGGCAGACCACTGTTCGGTCCCTTCACTTCCGAAGCCATGGATTCTTGTGCTACTGAGTGCTCTCCCTTAAATTAAGGTCCAAAGTGATACATGGTCCTGGGAGAGGTACACTGGGCCTAGACAGTGTGGCTGCCCGTTTCCTGGAGATGAAACATTTCCATCTGAACAGTTTTGGGTGATCTTAAGGAGAGTTACTCAGTCAGCTCACATGCCACGCTGGTCATAAAAGATCTGTTCAGACTCACTGGTAGACAGTGACGAGGTAGACACCCCCAAGCCCTCCACACCAGGGCCTCCCCACCCCTCCCACACGTGGACCATCGGAGTGAGCAGAGCCCATGACCCGTGCTGGGATCTGCACCAGGAGGGGCCCTGGGCAGAACAAGAGGCTTTGAGTTTAATTAGGCTCTGGCCTCTGCCCACAATTTCAGAGCACAGATACAGAACTGGCCTTCACTGTGGGAAAAGTAGCTCCTGCAGGGTAGAGTTGTTTTAATGTTCTATTTACAGAAAGAGAAAAGGACTCCAGTCTGCTGGTGGTGTTAAGCCCTTGCCCCTCACTCCAGCGGAGCCTTTCCTATGCTTTGGGCACAGAAAACTGGAACAGGAAGGAAAGACGCGGAGCTCTTAGGGCCTGTGGCTGCTGGAGCCAAGAGTCTCAATTACCCTCAGGGATCTACAGTGGAGCTTCACACTGAACTACCCCCCCGCCACGCATAACTGCAGATTACACATCCTTATTTTGTTCCCTTATATTCTGCCTACTGGAAATCAATGGCTATGACTTGACCAAGCCCTGTGATGATGGCAAAGTCCCTCTTCCGACAGCATCTTGACAGGAAACTCCTTGAACACTGGTAGAAAGCTTTAGAATAGACTTAGGTTTTGTAAGAGAAAATTCAATAACCCCAGAATATACTAGTTCCATGACATCAATAACTGAAAAATGCCCTGGGTGTAAACTCAGGAATGTGGATCATATATATAAAAGTATATATACCATTAATCCATATTTTCCTACAATACACCCTAAAATTCCTATTTTTGTAATTAATAGTTGGACAGTGGTCAGCTACTTAAACAAATATTCTCTGGAATAACCAGACCCTAGTTTAGTTTCCAAAGCGTTTCATATAACAAAATCCTATATACTTAGAAGAACAACTCAGGATAAGGAAAAAATTGCTAAGTCCCAAAGGGTTCAAGACTATCATCAAATATGACTTCCAAGTGGCCTGTGGTCATTTCATTCAAGCAAGGGGGCTGGGGTGAGAGAGAACAAAAGGAATCACAAAACCTCTGTTGCCCTTAGTCCACGGTAAGGTTTAAGAAAACTCTGCTTTTAAAATTAAGCCATCTTTCAAATTGTTTTCTATACCAAATCTACAATATTAAAAAGAAATTACTGAATATTTAAAGTGGGGTAGTTAGTAGAAATGCTATCAGTAGAAAAAGCATTGTTTTTTTAGTGCCTGCTAAACAAGTAACAAACCAACCACACAGACTGAAGAGCAAGCAGTCCTTCCTGTGGGACACTGTTGTTACAATGACAAGTGTTAGCATGTATGGGCACTAATTCAAAAGTGACGTGGCAATGCTATCCAGTGCTTAGAGATTTTTGAAGTACAGTCTTGCCACCATTCGGGGTAAGTACTTCCTTACAAAAGTTTTGGATATTAGTGAATGAATGTATGGAATTATAAACTATGCATTTTCAAAGAGTAACATGTATTTTGTATTGAATCCAAGTAAATTTTTTGCATAGAGACTTACCACAACTGCAAATTATTCAAACTAAACTTGAATGCATGTCCTTATGGGGACGAGGGATGCCACCTTGTCCTTCTGCTTGTGTTTTTAAAGACAGTGCATTGAAACTTCGCTCTGAAACTCCGGGCTCTAAACAACTAAGTCGCTGAAGTGAACAATGGGAAATGGTTTGTATTTTACTTCTTAAGCGTAAATGAGAAATGCTGCCTCTTAGAAAATGTGCCCAGTCCCTTAGAGGCAGGTATTGTAGCAACACCAGATTAGCAAGCAAGTGAAACTGTGGAGTTAACGAGTACTGCATTGGAGAGATACGGCATAGGTTTCATCGCCTGTGTTTCTCAATCCAAGAAAAAGAATTTCAAAAACTTTGGGTTATATGATTTTTAAGGTCAAAATATTAAACTATTGTCTGAAAAAGCAAATATTTTTTCAAAATTACGTGAGGATACTTGTGATTTAAAAATTTATATAAGCCACCTAAATTTCTTTAGCCCCTTTGCCAATATTTTCATGAAATCTTTTCTCCTAATAATTTCTTTGCTCCTTAATCAGTGCTTTACTACATTACTCAGCAGCATTTTTTTTAATTCTTTCTTCATCTGATGACACAGAAATAACTCCCTATCTCTGCTATTCTGGTTCTCTTCTGTCTGTTGAGAACGTTCTTCAACTGTCTGTACAATATGGAGAACACACTTCTAAACCTGGTACTTAGGATCACGCTAGATATGTTTGCTACCTAATTAGAAGTTAGTTTGGGAGGGGCAGTCTGTCTTTTTACGTGATTTTGAGCCAAATGCAGACGTTCTGATACATTTCAGAATACTTTTCTGACTGTAAATACAGCCTGTGGAGGTTCAGGTTAACCAGCCTTTTCTGTGACTGTTCTGCAGCCTTGCTCCTCGTCGCTCTTGGCACCTTGTATATAGATTTGTTGAATGTCTCAATGATGTTGTTTTTCTAAATGCTGTTCTCTAAGACAATTTTTTGAATGTTTTTTGCTTTCCATTGTTTTGGACGCTGTGTGTTAGTTTTACAAAATGTTTCCTAAATATTTAACACCAGGAAAAAATATTTTAAAATAAACTGGTGCTAATTGGAACAGAAGGAAATTTTCAGCTTTGAAGATTTACCAGAGAAAATGTTCACACCAGTTAAACTGCACTTTCCCAAGGAGACAGCTGGCATCTACTTGAAATGGCCATCAGGAAGACCACCGAGTGTTTACAGTGTCTGTGGCCCATGTGAGTGTAAAATCCAGAAGAGGCTCTGTCCCCCGCCCCCAAGCGGAGGGGTTGCTACATTGGTCCTCCAGAAGCATTTAGGTAGAAGGAAACGCTTAGAATAAGAATCACTTTAGTAATAGTCTTCTGGTCTTTGGACTTTCATGTTCTGTAATGCTTAGCTGTAACAATGAATATGGTGTTGCCAATCTAGTCTGACATCATCGTTGACCTGTATTTACATTGTGTATGGTTCTACCTTGGGTTGTACTGGCACGAATCAAGCCAGAACACAGGACTTTCAATAAGACCATTCTGACTTCTACGGTGTCCACACACATGAATTTAAATGCACTTGTACCTGGTTAATTACCATGAAGTAAGTCTAACTTCCACAATAAAAGTTTTTGTGTATCTGCTTCTACTTGGGGGCTATTTATTTAAGTAAAGGATAACTAATTTCTACCAAGGAACATTTTTAAAGAGTTCAAAAGCAAGAGCATACCTTCCTCACCATCTAGCACATTTCTAGATACATGGGAAACGCATCTCCCTTTTAGAGTTCAACCCTGCTAATTACAACTTAATCATTCACTACCCTAGGATATTGATCCTGTTGTTCCAAGCAAGTAGACAGTGTCCATTTGGTGCCCACCCATCCAGCAGGCCCTCCAATGGCCACATCTGCTCACTAGAACTTGCTGTGTTCACCTACAAAAGCCAGTTACAGTACGTGTGTGTTCAGGAACATAGTAGGCTTTAGAGCTCAACAAACTTGGGCACAAACCAAGCTTTGCCTCTTGCTAGGTGGACAAGTGGTCTTATCTCTAGAAGTATTAGAATGAAAATGATGGTAAAAGAGAAAAAGTGACTGACCTGGGTTAGACAATATCTTCTCCTAGCCCATTCAAGCTTTATCTTAGCTTAGTTTACCTTAGCTTAGGGAGAAAGACGACGTGTGGCCTATTCCTGGATTCACAGAAGTGACTGCATTCTGGGGCTGTTGTGAGGATGATCTGAGATAACACACATCAAGGTGTACAGACAGGTACTCTACAAATGGAAGCCAAAACAACCACCCACCCGGAGCCTTTGATCTTGGCCATCACTGACATCAGTGACTAGCACGAGGCATGGACCAGGTTTTGTAGCTTTCCTATCGGAGGACTTGGGGGCTCTGCAGCCGGACACCAGCTTCCAGTCACCAAACCTCCGCGGTCTCCTCATATTCAGCCTGTTCATCACAGCCTGATGATGCTCCTTCTAACCAGGTGTCAGGAGGTCGTAGCCTGGCACTGCTTCACAATGCCATGTCATCCACCTCCTCTCATGTCATTGTGTAGCCATTGTGTCATCTCAGCTCATCCCAAGAAGGATGAACACAGCGCAAGATGTTTTGCGAGAGACCACATTTACCAGACTACATTTGCCATTATAGTGCATTCCTATAGTTGTTCTGTCACTCATTGTTAATCTCTTACTGCACCTCATTTATAAACTTTACCACATTATGAGCACACAGGAAGCAGCATAGTACAAAACATCTAGAATATGGTACTATTGAAGGGGACACCTCTATCATCCCTACTTTATCCAGGAGGGGATTCCTTCATAAACGCTAAGTAACTGGCCTAAGACCACGTGGTGCTCGTGGCTTTGGGGCTCTGTACCCCTGAGCCCACGCAAAGGTGACTCTGCACTGTAGGAGTTACAAGCACAGGGCTCACTCTGGGCTGAAGACGGAAAAAGCTAACCTTTCTCTGATTACTGGCTTTTTCCACTTTTGAAGGAGGTGTGGGCTGCTCTCCACCCCATCTTCCCACCTCTTCTCACTATTTAGTCTCACCATGTCCACATCCCCACTTAGGATCTGCACCCATGCCGTGGCAGGCACGGCTGGCACTGCACTCACAACCAACAGGCCTGCTAGATGCCCTGCAGCGTGTCTGCCAGGCCCACAGCCACACCAACCCCAGCTCTCCCCTCACAGCACTGCCATCCTCAGGCCTCCAGGCTCCCAAGGATGGGTTCCCACACAGCTGGCTCAGCACCTGCCTTTCTGCCCCAGAGATGACAGGCACAGCCAGGCCCACACAACTCCAAGTGCACACACGTGTTGTCCCCAGCCCTTCTCTGGGCTCCAGGGAGCTCTCCCGGCCTGACAGCAGCGATGGGAGCCTGTGCAGCCCTCACGGGTAGGGGAACCAGGAAAAAAAGAGAATCAAGGCTCTAACTGTTGTCCTGCAGAGCTATGTGGAAATCGTATACAGCAAGCCCTCCATATCCGGGGGGCTGGAGCCATAAACAGAACCGGGGGGGGGGGATCCATGTCTGAACACATACAAATCTCATCATCATTATTCTCTAAACTATACAGTGTCCACTGTAACAGCGTTTATACTGTGTTAGAATTGTAAGTAATCCGGAGATGATTCAAAGTATGTAAGAGGGTACGCACAGATGACAGGCAAACGCTGTCATTGTAAAGAAGGGACACACATGCCAGGGGACGGGGTGTGTTGGGGCAGGGGCTTCCATCCTCCTGCAGATACCAAGGGACAACTGTATTTGCAAAACAAGGTTTTACCAAATGTTTACTATCTCAAGGGATGTGGTAGCCAACAGCCAATGAAGTACACATTCTTTTAATGCAAAAATTAAAGATATCTCCCCCTTTAAAAATATCCTCAAGAATTTATATTTCTTGGGATCAAAGACTGTGTCCCATTTGCTGTATCTACCTTGTGGGATACATTACCAAGTGGCTAGCAAATTGAATAAACAGACTGTTCAGGTGGATTGCTTCTTCAAGCTTTAGATATACTCTCTGCTTTCAATCTGCCTAAATGTCCAGGCAAAGCAAAGGGAAGGACACAAACATTTTAAAAGACTGGCATAGACATCTATTTGGTCTCAGAACATTTTTAAAGTTTGTTTTGTTTTGTTTTGTTGTGGTTCTAGGGACTAAACTCAGAACCTCTGTACTAAACTACATCCCCAACCCTTTCCTTGGTTTTTTTTTTGTTTTGGTTGCGTTTCATTTTTTGTTTTTTGTTTTTTCAAGACACTGTCTCACTAAGTCACGAAGTTGCCCAGGCTGAGTTTGAATTTGTGATCCTCCTGCTTCAGCCTTCTGGAGTGCTGGGATTACAGGCATGCACCACAAACCCAGCTTAAAGTTTCTTTAAAATATGTGCATCCTCAAAATTGCCAACTCCAAGTGACTATGCCAATTACCTAACAGCCAATACAGGACAAAGTAGTAACAAACTCTTTTTATGTAGAAATGCCTAGCACATAGCAAGAATTCAATTAAAAAGTAAAAAAAAAAAAAAATGAATCCTTTCAAATGAAATAAACCACAGCATAGGTCTGGGCTATTAAAAGCATGCAGAGTAAATGGAATGAAATCATGAGATTTGTGTCAGTAACACAGGAGAGAAAATCTAGGCTGGCATTAAGATATAATGGACACTTTTATGATGGAGATAGGGTATTATAGTGAATGTTTGGGACTCGGTAATACATGGATATAGTTTTTAAAGACAGGGTAGTAAAAAAGCTTACAGTGAAAGCAGGCCCCTGCTGGTCTGCCTGTCCACCCCTCTATCTCACACCCAGAAGCAGCCACTTTCAACTCATTCAACTGTTTTTTCTGATACTTGACTCCACTTTGCCTTTAAGTGAATTCTATGCAAGTCCTGCCTCACAGACAGAAAAGTCAGTACCAACCCAGGCATCTACAAGGTCAAGAGCAAGAGGGCCAAGGCCCAGCGTGAGGCCGCAGAGGCCAGTGAAGTGCCAGGCACCCTCCATTGCAGGGTGGCTCGCTCATGCTGGATCTGTTGTTCCGGCATCGAGATACTGGCCTGCTGGCTGATGTGAGAGACTCCTGAGTGCTTCTACGAATCTGCGCACATTGTAACCTGCACAACCTGAGAGCACTCTGTTCTCACCTCTATATTCCACTGCACACTGCGCTCAGGCTGCAGATCAAAGCCTTCAGCCAGCCGATCCGCCAGCCAGCAGGCTTCTCATCATCTCTTTTAACACTTCCACAGGGCCCCTGCTTCCCAGCATGTTCCTTACTTTAGCTGATTGCCCTGCAATGCCCCAGTTGCCCCAGGAAAACACCACAAGTCAGAGGTTGCAGAATAGCTCTGCTAAGGCCAAAGCAGCACGCTGTTCACCCACGGCTGGTCATAGGGGGTTGGTAGCAAAGAACAAGCCCACTCAAGCGAGTTTAAGCAAACACAAGTGGAGGGTGGGGGTACTGAAAGGACAGGGGACATCTTTGCAGGACCCAAGGTCAGAATACATGGCCAGGGCGTGTGGAGGCGGGACCAGGGGTGAGAGCTTCTGGGAAAGGGGGACTCACTCTCCATCCTTCCAAGCAGACCCCATGAGGCTGCAGGGTCTGGACCCTGTCTCTCTGAGTCTCTTTCCTTCTCACTATACGCATTGCCCTCTCTGCTTCTCTAGCACACAGTAAAAAAGCAGTCACCATGAGCCTGTGTCACCTCCCAGTGCACACAGCCAAGGGGGACTGGAATCCTGGAGTGCCGAGCCCAAGCTCAGGACAGGCCGATAGGCCCGATCATGGTCCCTTAGGGTCTGTGCTGGGGGGAAGCCCGGGGGCAGGGGCCTCGTGGGAGGTTTTCTATAAAAAGATGTGAAGCTGGGAAGGAAATAATTAGCAGACGTCAATTTGTCTAGCAAATAAATGCAATCATAAACAATTACAACAAGGCAGAACTCTAAACATCATCTAATTTAACTCCCTTACTTCACAGATGATTCATAACCTATGGGTATCAACTGACATTTAATAGAACTGTTTGATGCCAGTTTGTTTCCATGCAGTTTTATTGCTTGTTTTCTGAGGACAGGTTATCCATTGTCTTAAACACAGCCACACAGAGAAGGAAAGAGGACCACAACCACATTATGGTACGTCAGTTCTAATCCCACCTCCACCCCTTACCGCTCTGTGACATTCGGAGGTTACTAACCTGTCTGTGCCTCCTCAACAGCCTGTTCCATTAAATACAGACAGACCCATCTCATATGAGATGAGTACCTACCTCATACCTCCTAACCCTAAGTGGGTTATATGTGTAAAGGGTTTTTAGAATGGCACCTGGCACTTAGTGAAGGCTAGAAAAGTATTGGCTGAGTCATCAATGGTGTCACCATTTAAATGGTTTGAGACAAATGCCTTAGTCAATAAGAGGATCTTGGACCATTAGAACGGCAGCTGTTAAGTTTTAGTAAGCTGAAAGCATATATTTATTTCTAACAAAGACTGTTTTCTTCTTTTTCCAATTTAGAATTCTATGCTACAGAAATACAGAAAAGTAGAATATAAAATCACTGATAATTACATCACTCAAAGATAAACACTGATAGATTGATGCATTGTTT